CAGGATGGGCAACGCCTCAAACTTGGTCACTTTCACAGTCCCCATCCAATCAAGACTCTTATCAGGGATCTTCAAATCCATCGGAAGAATGGCCACAAACTGGTTTGCCATTTGGTCAGGATCAACAGCAAGCTTGGCCACAAACTGGAAACGAGGATCAATTAGCTTGGCCATTTAGTCAAAATCAACAGCAATGGCCCCAATCTGGTCAAGGACAGCAAGGTCAACAATGGCCACAATCTGGTCAAGAGCAGCAAGGTCAACAATGGCCACAATCTGGTCAAGAGCAGCAAGGTCAACAATGGCCACAATCTGGTCAAGAGCAGCAAGGTCAACAATGGCCACAATCTGGTCAAGGACAACAAGGTCAACAATGGCCACAATCTGGTCAAGGACAACAAGGTCAGGGTCAACAACGGCCACAATCGGGTCAAGGACAGCAAGGTCAGGGCCAACAATGGCTACAAACAGGCCAGGAACAGCAAGGTCAAAGTCAACAGTGGCCGCAATCGGTCCAGGGACAGCAAGGTCAAGGTCAACAGTGGCCACAATCGGGTCAAGGACAGCAAGGTCAAGGTCAACAATGGCCACAATCGGGCCAGAGACAGCAAGGTCAAGGTCAACAATGGCCACAATCGGGCCAGAGACAGCAAGATCGGGGGCAGCGGTTGCCTAAGTCGGGTCAGGGACAGCAAGGTCAACAGTGGCCACAGTTGGGTCAAAGACAGCAACGTCAACAGTGGCCACAGTTGGGTCAAAGACAGCAACGTCAGGGGCAACGATGGCCACAATCGGGCCAAGGACGACAAGGTCAAGGTCAACAATGGCAACAATCTGGTAAAGGACGGCAGACCCCGACTCAAATGCAAGGTGCGGGAGCATGGAAAAGCTCAATGCCCGGACAACAGCAGAAATGGCCAGGACCAAGTGGTTCTAAGCAAGATATGTCAATAAAACAGCCGAGATCTCAAACACAAATCACTGAAACTGCATCTGCAACGTGTGAA